AGGAAAGAGGTTGTGGAGTATATGCTTGATGTTGACTCACATATGTGGAGCATGAGAAGGAGTAAAGCTAACTTTTTTCGAATCATGGCCGTCCTAAGTGGGATGATTGCTGTTGGAAAATGGTTTGATCAGATCTGCAACTGGAGAAATCCTATCACAACTGTCTTAATACATGTCCTTTTTATAATCTTGGTTCTTTATCCTGAGCTAATTCTGCCTACAGTTTTCCTGTACCTTTTCTTGATTGGAATTTGGAACTTTCGCCGGAGGCCAAGACATCCTCCCCACATGGACACTCGGCTATCTCATGCTGACGCTGCTCATCCTGATGAACTAGATGAAGAATTTGATACCTTTCCAACTTCCCGTCCTTCAGATATTGTCAGGATGAGATACGACCGTCTCAGAAGCATAGCAGGACGAGTTCAGACAGTCATAGGTGACTTGGCTACTCAAGGGGAAAGATTTCAGTCTCTGTTGAGCTGGAGAGACCCTAGAGCAACCACATTGTTTGTCACATTTTGTTTGATTGCTGCCATTATTCTCTATGTTACTCCCTTCCAGGTCGTGGCTCTTGTCACGGGTCTCTACGTGTTAAGGCATCCCAGGTTCCGCCACAAACTTCCCTCGGTACCTCTCAACTTCTTCCGGAGGTTGCCAGCAAGATCAGACAGCTTGCTGTAAACCCAATTGGATTTTACTTGGCTACTTCTTCTATTAGTTCTAGCGGGTAGTTGCAGTACTGGTGCTGGATTGAAGAAGAGGTATCAATTTAGTTATGCTCTTTTATGTTAAGTCTTATTTGGTAACATGTAATTTTCTTCTGCAACAACTTGGTAAATTCTGGAAAATTTGTAGCTTCCTCTCCCTCTCTTGCTTTCTTTTCTTCTCGCACAAGGTAATCGATGGTAGGTTTCTGAGTATGTTAGCTAATTTCTTCTGATTTTGTTCCTAACTCTAGCCTTTGCTACTCAGGCAAATGACATGGAATCTCCAGATCTCATTTTTCTTTTCCGTGCCATCAGAATGTACTGGTTTCATTTTGAAACACAGGCAAAAGATTTGATTTTTTTAGAAACCAATAATTCAGATGGCCATTGTCATATGAAATAGAGTTTTTTTTTTTTTTTTTTTTTTTTTGTAGATTAGATTAATCTTTCTGGGTTGAATCTATTTAGTAAAAACAAACAAAAGCAGATCTTGTTTTTTATTACCATGTATGTCTTTTACATTATTAATTACTTTGTGATTTTAACTTGCTCAGAATTTCGTAAATTTC